CAGGCCGGTGATCCGCCTTACCGCTGGCCCTGTGTCCCTCCCAGGACCCTGGTGCCCCGTTTACCTGGAGTGCTTCCCCTCTGGCAGTAACCCCTCAGAGCCTCAGGATCTCCCCCTCCCAGGGGAACCCCCACCCACTATCCCCACTTCACCTCAGTGTTCAGCTACTGCCAGTCCCCATCTAGCCCCCCGCTCACTGGGGTGAACTGCAGTGTAAGCCACTCATCATAAGCAAAGGAGGTTCAGACCTGCTGCCTCTGCCTACCCATGGGCTGCCCCCTGCAACCCAATACCTAATGGGCCTTACCAGGCCTGCAGCCTGGGGCTTTCCTAGGCCAGAGCTCCCCGGCTCCCTAGGCCTTTCCACAGCCCTGCTCCACTCTAGGTTCCCTTCTTGGCACCTTGCAGCCAGGCCCTACAGGCAGAGGGAGACTGCCTGGGCCTCTGGCTCACAGCCTTTTATAGGGGCCAGCTGGGCCTGATTGGGGCATGGCCCCACCTGAGCTTACTTTCCCCCAATCAGCCCAGGCTGCTTGCCTCAGCCACAGCCCTCTCCTAGGCTGTTTCTAGCCCCACAGGGCACTAGCGGGAAATCACTCCGCTACACAGGAGGGCTATAAAGGAGGGTTGCCTCCCTGCCATACCAGTCATAGGCACCTCGAACCCTCCTGCCCCCCATTTACGCTCTTTTAAAGAATGCCTCTTTTAAATCCTTTCTCAATCCGTTTGATATGATCACCGTATTCATTCTCTGTGAAGTACCTGCACTGGACACAGGGCTTTCACTCCCCAGATGTTGGGCATAAATAGTCCCCTTATCTTCTGGTCACCTGGGGGGTCTGGGTCAGCATCCCCACGCTGACCTGGGATGGAGCTGCCTCCATGTTGTAGGTAACTCACTGGCTCTCTAGCCACCTTCAAAGTGGGCAACACACCTTCTCCGCCATGCCCGACAAAGATCCCTGCAGCTTAATGTGCAATGAGGTCATTCTTCCTTAATGCTAAGTGTACAAGGGTTAACCGGGGCTCGACCCTCTCCGGGGCAGCGGGGAGCCACACCGCCTCACTACATAATTCAACAGGAAGTAGGAGAGGCACCCTGCGAAAATGGTTAAAGCTGTTGGGCTCAAGCTAAACTCTTAAAATTGCATTTGAAAAATTTGGTTTCTCATACATAATTAATTGTTGCCTTTTCCAGGCCCTATCTTTCTGTTCCGTCCCTCCCCTTCAACCCCAGCCTTGGGGATTGAAGAGCTTGTCTTTGTGTCAAGCCTATTTGACTCAGCACAGGGGACAGGACTGGCCTGTAGGATATGTTACATATCACTTGATGATCATTTAAAAAACTCAGTATGAACTGACCATGCAGCTCTAAAGAGCATAGTCACTAGCAGTCTTTACATATTTGGAGAGGACCTCATTCTTAAATTGAGGAAGAAAATCTGCTATCACAGAATAGGTGGTATGAGTCTGAAATTGGTTTCAAAATAATATTGCAGAATAACAGCCTGATGGATTTAATATAAGGCCATGTTGGTTTCTTTTAAATGAATTGCTTGAGTGCCATGGGATCGCATTAAGTCAGTTCCCACAGTACTTTGACTCAGATACTCAGTGCTGAAGAGCGTGGCTGGAAGACCTGGGTGAGAGGGGAAGGTGACTTTAAATCATCTTTGTACTCCCCCCCAGTCCTTGGGGCCAGCTTGTCTTCTGACAGAGCAGCCTCAAGGCTGCTCTAATTTGTTTTGGCTTATAATGCTATAATTATAATAGCATCCTAAGGGCTATAACATCCATCAGAAGTTGGACCCTTATGCATTTTATTCTCGGGAGGCAGGAAGGAAGAGGTGGCCTAAAGCTAACTCCAGCCACTCTACACAACCTGAGCATTCTCTGATGATGGTAAGAGCCCCATCAGTCATAATAAGGCAGTTTTCCAGCTTCTTTGAGTCTCAGAAATGGTGCACAGGGACTGGATCAGAGACTGAGGATCTCTCTCATTGACTTAAATTTGAATCTTGTGTAATACTCGTACTGTTTCTCTGTTGAATGACTGAGTGGATCATAGTTGTTTGCAGTGTTTGGTCCCAGGATATGAGAGAGATAAGAGAGGTGCGATAATATCTTTTATTGGACCAGCGTCTATTGGTGGAAGTTACAAGCTTTCAAGTTCCACAGAACTCTTCTTCAGGTTTGGGCAAGGAAGCAGAATATTGGAGCTAAATACAAGTTGGGACAAATTGCTAAGCAGAAGGGGCAACATATGAGGGAGGCAGTCACTTGAAATGAAGTGATCAATATGGGTTAAATCATTCTGCACAATAGACAATGAAGTGGGCAACTAAAGATCCTAAAATTTAGGTGATAAATATGTTACATTAATTTTTGGGAGAATGGTCCTTGGGGAGGAGACTTCTTAAATGGCTATTACTCTGCTATTGTATTGGTACATTCACAAGTGTGGATATTGATACTTTTCGTAAAGAGAAACTAGTTGGACTGAACAGTAATCATGTATAAGCACCTACAAGGCAGTTTTTAGTGATCAAAAGCAATACCGATAGAAGATCTCCACCCCAGTCTTCCTATCCTCAGTGCCCCAGAAAAGCCACTCTCAGGACCTGTTGATAGCCACAAGCACTAGAGGGTGAAGCCCTAGAGTACAAGATCATGGTAAGCTTGTACACAACATATGTGTGCCTGCCTGAAGGATACTTACAGTATTCTTTTCCCTACAGGGCCGGCTCTACTGTTTTTGCTGCCCCAAGCAGCGCGCCGAATTGCCGCTGCAGACGGTGGGTGCAGTCCTTGTGCCGTTAGGGCGGCATGCGTGTTTCTGCAGCGGCAGCTTTGCTGCCGCCGAATTGCCACCGCCACGGAAACACGTGTGCCGCCCTAGCGGTGCACGGACTGCCCCCACCGTCCACGGCGGCAATTTGGCGCGCTGCTTGGGGGCAAAAACACACAGACTGCCGCCCCTTGCAGATTGCCGCCCCAAGCAGCTGCTTGGAAGGCTGGTGCCTGGAGCCGGCCCTGTTTCCCTACACTGATGAGAACTGAATTCAATGAAAGCAGCCTCAACAATTCCAGTGTAATAACATAAGGGAATATATATATAATCATGTGTACACACACACACACACACACACACCCTTATTTCTCATTAATTGGGTTTCTCTTGTTCCTTTGGTGGCTTATTTAAGATTTCTCTGTAGCATTATTGGCTTTGGGCCTAAGATAATGTTCCAATGTAAATAGCCAAAACTGGAAAACAAAACCTTGTTGAAGTCAGACTTACGTTATTCTTGCACTGTCTGGAGTGGTTCACAACTGTGAGTGCCTATCTCAGGACAGATAGTCAAAAACAGGACAGACACACAAAACTGGTGGTATATTCTATCATTAGATTTAACCAACCCAGTAACAAATGTGAACTCTTGGATCTCTGTAACAATCTTACCATGGAGTCACAGACAAGCCTCGTGGGCTCGCCTATCTATTTTACCACCCAGGCAAGCTGGACTTAGTGCTAAATGGTCACTTACACCAAAAATCACAAAATATTCAGGTTGCTCCCAGTCCCAAGAGACCAGTTACTTACCGGAGATCAGTTTGTATCTTAGATTTCACACCAGAAGGCAATGCAGGTAGCTAATCCCAAAATAAACTAATTATTTAACTAGGAAAAAGAAATGAGTTATTTATAGCTTAAAGCAGGCAACACGTATACACAAATGAGTTCACTCTCTGGTTCCAAAAGGTGACAGATGTTGTTCTTAGCTCCAATCTTTGTAAGAGTCCAAACAGCAAAGAAATGAAAAATCTTTGTCAGCTATTTTTATTTCCCTCTTCTAGCATTCAGACAGATGGGACCAGGCTTTCTGCATGTACTTCTCAATGGGTGGATGGGCTAATCAACAAAGCTTTTGTCCTACAATGGCCCACTTGATTTTGATAGTCCTCCTGGATAGGGAGGGGCAGCCACTCTTGCCATCTGAGTTCACAAGTTCAGAGCAGGCATTTTTACAATTATAAAACACACATTTTATCTTGTAGCATGGAATACAGACATTTCAAATGAGATTAATGCATTCAGCAATTTACAAGCATTTCATAGAGTCTAAACGCTAAACACATCCTTACAAGCCTAACACCTATCTTGAACAATACTAACAGACAGGTGAGCTGGTCTGGTTTTCAGCTATGAATTTGTCAATGTTGAGCTGATGCTTACAGACTTGGCAAAAGCTGGCACCTAGTTTGCCAGCGTCACAGTTACCATAATGAGAGGAATTTTGTTAGGGTGCTAGCCTGGGATTTAGGAGACTGGATTCAATTCCCTGTTCCACCACAAACATCCTCTGAACTTTGGCCAGTTATTTAGCATCTCCATGCTTCAGTAACCCATCTGTAATGGAGATAACACATCCCTACCTCGCAAGGGTGTTGAGAGAATAAATAGGTTGACGACTGCAAGGTGTTCAGTTACTTCAATACTGGGGACCATAGAAATACCTTACATGGATAATGACCTACCCCACTTTTTCTCTTTACTGACAGATGGGACTAGGATACATCATACAACTTGTTTCTACACTGTGTGATATTACCAGAGACTTCTGTATAATAGAATCATAGAATATCAGGGTTGGAAGGGACCTCAAGAGGTCATCTAGTCCAACCCCCTGCTCAAAGCAGGACCAATCGCCAACTAATAGTTACCTAACTGCGGGGCTGACTAAAATCCAGGTGTAAATTGCTGAGAGCTGTTTGTCTCTTTTCATTGTTTTCCTGCCTGGAGTTCTGAGACTAGTGATTTTTTTTCATTCAGTCCATATACCTGTATGTTAAGCCAAGTACAGGATTAATACTCTTGTTATAATGTATTCTGTATCTAGATTACAGCGAAAAGGAAGGTCCATTGGAAATGCATTGAACATATTGTATTTATGAAAGAAGCTTACTAATAATAATGAATAATTGTTTTCCTGTTTTTACAGCTTGCAGGCCAGGATTCTATAAAGCATTTGCTGGGAATATAAAGTGTTCCAAGTGCCCTCCACACAGTTTAACCTATGTAGAAGCAACTTCTGTCTGTCAGTGTGAAAAAGGTTACTTCAGAGCTGAGAAAGATCCACCAACTATGGCATGTACCAGTAAGTCTGATCTGTAATTTCTGTTTGAAATTCCCCTCATTTTCATCTTATTTATTTTCACATAATAAAGATGGCATCTCTGCATGCCAATATTGTGCTCTATCCCTCTAAAAGAAAACAAAGGAAAATGTTTTCCTTAATCACAAATCAAACAGCAGGTTTCTCTTTAGTCTTAATGCTCCTAAAAATTATTGAAAAAAGTTTCCCATCTTAAGGAACATTTTTTTGTTTGTTGGTTGGTTTGTTGTGGGGTTTTTTAAAGAAAAATTACAGAATATGTAATTTCTTCCCACAGATAACAAGGTTGACGTTTGAGTAGCAATATATATTTCATCTATTAAAAAAATAGCTTTGTACAAAAATCTTCAAAACACCGAGGACACACATAAAGTTGAAGACAAAACTGGTAGTACTTATTCCTTTCTTTCCTCTGGCTTAAATAAAAAATAACTATCGAACAAACATCATCCTGACAGATTGGCATAAAAGCTTAACTATCCAAAAAATCCTAAAATGAAGAGGGGGAGGGAAGATGCATTCAGTCACACACAGGTACAATTAAACCCTGTAACATTTCCACTTCTTTCAAAAGACAATTAGATCTTTTTATATAGCTGTGATAATGAAAATTATTTAGCCTTTTCAAAATTTAAACAAAATCCTGTAATGTCTGACAGCAAACAAAACTGATTCATGAAAACCTAGAGGCAGAAATTCTGACTACAGAAAGACATTTTTCTTCTCATTGGATCAATTTGCTCATGTCTGGAGACAATGTAAAAATATAAATTTTCCTTGTCATTTAATAAAATAGTTCCCCTGGATTTTCATCATTAGTTCATTATTCACTGACATTAATTTGTTGGTCCCAAAGTAACAATATCTGTTCTATCTTAGAGCATAGAACCAGCGACAGGATCACACTATTTAGGTATAAAATATTATTACTTTACTTAATGAAGACAAGTCTGGCTTGACTTGGCAAAATTTTCTAAGACCAAGTTTTCTGTGAAGAAATGCCTCATCTCTGTTTAATACCCAGTAATGATCTGATTCTTTCAAATTGTGTTTGTGCTACAATCAACTTGTCATTAAGATAATTCTGTGAATTTTCAGCACATTCAACGTTAGATGTACAAGAAACCTACATTATTATTTTAAAAAAACCTCACAAAGCTAGAGCTGTTTTGCAAACTTCAAACAAGTTAGCATTCAGTTATTGTGAAATAGAATCATTTAAGTATAAATAAACTTTAATGTATTGAAGAGAGAGGAGAGAGAGAAATGGCTGAGTTTTGAATGTTGTTGCATTTTTATCAATTAAAAACATTTTTGGATATATTGAGTTGAAATCAGTTATGTCAGAGCCAGAAATTAATGAAGAAGAGAAACAGTTTGATATTATCTGCATATAAGAGAGGGTCAAAGTTAAAGAGGACAAGGACAGAACTGAGAACAGAAGGTGTCTAATGGTCAAGGAATATCCATTACCAGTCAGAAGAGTATGATTAGTTAGACAATGGAGAATGTAATAAAACAATATGCTTGATATTTTGGCATGCTATGCCAGATGATCAAGAAAAATATCATGTTTGACCATATTAAATGGTCACTATGTCCATAAAATTTAACATCACACTGGAGTGTGATTAGAAAAAGATCAAAGGCATTTATGCTTAAATTAAGTATCTGAGTCTGAACACATCTCTTATTATGCTATGCTTACATAATTTCAAATACAGCAAACTGCATCACCACGCACAAAAATCAACCCAAACAATATTCTTTATATTAATACTTGTTAATAATAATGTAGGAAACCACCATTGTCTTGAAGCTGCAAAATAAAAACAAAACAAATCCTTTTTTTTATTAGTGCCTATACTCTTAATTATATATGTATTTAGTTACTATTTAACTTCCCTCTCTGACCCATTCTATTATATATAATAATACTTTGTACAGACAATAGTGCTTTTCATTCATGGACCTCCAAAACATTTCAAAAACTTGAATTAATGAAGATGCACAATATCCTTATGATATGGGTATCATTCCCATTTTACAGATAGGTAAACAGAGTAATAGAGGTTAGAGGAAGAATAAGTGGCAGGGAGAGGAATAGAACCTAGAATTCTTAGCACACAGTCCCTTGCTCTAATCATTGGGCGACACTTCCTTTCTGGTTTGTAAATTCAATTTGGCTCTCAGTATCAAGTTGCACTATTTCATAGAATATAAGGGTTGGAAGGTCATCTAGTCCAACCCCCTGCTCAGAGCAGGACCAATTCCCAACTAAATCATCCCAGCCAGGGCTTTGTCAAGCCTGACCTTAAAAACCTCTAAGGAAGGAGATTCCACCACCTGCCTAGGTAACCCATTCCAGTATATTTAAATGTATGTATTAGTTATTACAGTGATGGGCTCAAGGCACAAAATTCAGATCCCAATTCTGAGCATTTCAAAAATCTCAGGGTGAAATCCTGTCTGCCAATGGGAGTTTTGATGGTGACTTCAGTGGGGCCAGGACTTCACCCTGAATGTATTCAGATCAGATATGGTGTTCAGTTTAGGGCCAAGAACCATCTTTAGTTGTGGACAAACAGGCTGATCTTCTGAATTGGCTGATACTGGGGAGGGGGAACACTTTCTTTTGAATACTATTTGGTCCTAATTCCAGTTATTCTCTCTTATTTGGTCTATGGGCCTATTTGCCCTGTCTCTTCCAGCAAACTGTTTTACACCCAGCTGGACCCTTTCCTCTTCCCCTTCTTCCCAGCTGTGTTCCTTCTAAGCTGTGCACTCGCGCAGCTGCCCAGGAGTGAATCAAGTGAAATGCACTTGATTAGCAAAGCCGTGCACAGCAGCATGTATTGAGCTGTCCCTCCCCACACTGTTCTGCAGCTGCATTGCTCCTGCCCTCTGCCTCGGGTTGCCAGGCATCCGGTTTTCAACCAGAATGCCCAGTCAAAAGGGGACCCTGGCTGCTCCAGTCGGCATCACTGACCAGGCCATTAAAAGTCCAGTCGGCAGCACAGTGGGGGCCTGGGGCTAAGGCAGGCTCCCTGCCTGCCCTAGCTTTGCGTGGCTCCTGGAAGCAGCTGCCGGGTCCCTGCAGCCTCTAGGCCAGTGGTGGGCAGCCTGTGGGCCACATGTGGCTTGTCAGGGTAATCCGCTGGCGGACTGTGAGACAGTGTTTACATTGACTCTCCGCAGGCACGGCCGCTCACAACTCCCAGTGGCTGCGGTTCACCATTCCCGGCCAATGGGAGCTGCGGGAAGCGGCGGCCAGCATGTCCCTGCGGCCCGTGGGCCTCAGGTTGCCCACCACTGCCCTAGGTGCTGAGACAACCAGGGACTGGGAGGTTCCGTGCACTGCCCTGGCCCCGAGTGCCTGAACCCCTGGCCGCCCATGTGCCTAGACGCCGCCGAGACCTGGCAGACGCTTCCTTAGAGCCACAGTAAGCACCACCGGGACCCCACATCCCCTTCTGCACCCCAACCCCCTGCCTGGAGTCCCCTCTCACTCCTCAAATCCCTCATCCCCAGCCCCACCCCTGAGTCCAGAACCCAAGCCATAGCCCTCACCTCCTCCCACACTCTAACCCCCTGCCCCAGCCCGGAGTCTCCTCCTGCACCCCAAACTCCTGATCCCCGTCCCCACCCCCAGCCAGAGCCCTCCCTCCTTCCCCCCCGCACACCAACCCCATAGCCCAACCCAGAATTCCCTCCCGCACCCCAAGCCCCTCATCCCCAGCCCCCACCCCCAGCTAGAGCCCTCACCCCCACATCCCAATCCCCTACCCTAGCCTGGAGCCCCCTCTTGCACTCCAAACCCCTCATCTCTGGCCCCACACCAGAGCCTTCATCGCTAGTCCAGAGCCCATACCCCATCCCGCACCCCTGCCCTAGCCTGGTGAAAGTGAGTGAGGGGGGAGGAGCGAGCACGCGGCGTGGTCTTGGAGAATGATGGGGCATGGTGGGGCCTTAGAGAAGGGGCGGGGCAAGGGACCGGGCAGGTGTGTTCAGTTTTGTGTGATTAGAAAGTTGGCAACCCTACCTCTGCCTTGGAGCCCCTGGCCAGCTGCTCCTGGGACTCTCCTGCTCGCTGTACAGAGCGAGGAAAAGAAGAGCGCTGATGTCAGAGTGTCCGCATCCCCCCGTCCATGTACTCTGTCTTTGCACAGCGAGGGAGGGGGACATGGCTCAGGCAGGGCTGCCCAGAGGCGGGGGCAAGTGGGGCAATTTTCCCCAGACCTCGATCCCCGCAGGGGCCCCACGAGAATGTCAGAGGCTCCCCCCCGCCTCCGCCCTCGCCTTCCCCCATCCCACAGCGCCTCAGCGCGCCGTGTACAGGAGCGGCCCTGGACAGCGCTGCAGCGGCGTGGCTAGGGCGGGGCCTGAGGTCCTCCCGCTCGGAGCCACGTGGTAAGGGGGAGGGGCTGCGAGCTCCGGCGGGCCGAGCGGCAGGAGCTCCTGGACGCGTCTCGCTGAGGCTCTGGCAGGCGGGGGTAAGCGACATGGTAAGCCCCTCTGAGCCGGGCACCCCCCGACCCCATCCCTCCCCCAGCTCCGAGCCCAGCCCCTCTGAGCCGGGCATCCCCTGACCCCATCTCCTCCCCAGCCCTGAACCCCAGCTCCAAGCCTGGCCCCTCTGAGCCGGGCACCCCCCTAACCCTATCCCCCCCACACCCCTGCCCCCCGCTTCGAGCCCAGCCCCTCTGAGCCGGACACCCCCCGACCCCATCCCCCCCGCAGCCCTGACCCACAGCTCCGAGCCCAGCCCCTCTGAGCCAGACACTCCCCAACCCAGAGTCCAGCTCCCCACCCAGCCCTAGGCAATAGTAGCGCCACCCCCAGGCAGCGACAGCCCATTGGCACCAACCATCACCATCACCCAGTGACAGTCCATTATGTAATTGCAAATGTATACATACCATTAAAGCATTTAATGTTTTTAAATAATGTATTTCGTGTATTTTCAAATTACTAAAAAATAA